GCGTTTACACTGCGAAAATTAAGAGTGCCGTGCCTAAAAATTTGGTCCGCGTGCCATTATTTAAGAGTGCCGTGCCAAAAATGAGTGTAGTGTAAACGGGGCTTGATATGCCTTCCATGTTAATGGCAGTGTTTTTCTCTGCTCATAAGCAAATTGGACAATGTTGTCCATGCTTCCGTTCTTTAATTCTTCCTTGTGGTCGACTATGTTTTTCAAAACTTCAAGTTCAGCTTCTAACACGTCAGCATCCACATCATTGGGGAACATTTCTGCAAGTTTCTGTATGATTTCAGGCAATGGCTCATGCAAAGGAACCTGCAGAGCGTGGGCTATAGGGGGCGATAACATCCAATGTCGGCTGCATCTTGTCCCGAAATTGCGAGATAAGGACATCCAAAACGTACTTGAACTCCTTTCTATAATATTGATAAAAGGTGAAAGCTGTGGTTTCTTGGTGATCTTCATCGTATCGCCTTGGTATATGCCTTACGCGGGCGGTGACTTCTTGTAAATTCTTCTTTGGCATCAATTTGGAATGACGTCTTCGCATACAACACAGCTGCTTCTATCATATCATTCATCTCTGTTTCTTCGTTATTGATTCTTTCCAAAGATGTTACAGTGGCTTTTGTCAGCCCTAAAGCATTTACAATGTTAAGTTCTTCTTGCTGGAGAATTTCGCTTAAGATCTTAGTCTTGAACATAATGTTCTTCATAAACATTAAGGAGACAATGAAATCAAAGCTTTTTACGTTCTTCAGCAACCCAGAAATTGTTGCTTTGACTTTTGCATCCAATTTTGGTGCTGCAAAAGCTTCCTCTAAAGCTTTAACTATAGCTTCAAGAGATGTCCACACAACTTTGATAGATTCTGCCCTTGCCGTCCACCTTGTCTTTGAAAGATTTCTTAGCTGAAGACAGTTTTCAACTTGTTCCAGGTGCTTAGCTATGACAGCGTGACACTTTGTGCTTCCTGAGAAAAAAACATAGAGCTCCTGTAGGATGTTGAACAGTTCCTGGATGATATGGCTACTTTCACATCCATGCTCAACCACAGTATTCCATCTATGAGCCTGGCAAGGAATGTATGCAACTTTTCTATCCAATTTCTTTTCAATTTCTGCCTGCGCACCATTGTGTATTCCAGACATATTTGAAGCAAAATCATAGGACTGGAAAACCAGTTTAGAGGACTTCAAACCACTATCTTCTAATGACGTAAGGATATCACTGGCTTGTCCATTGCCTGTTTTATCGGTCATTTCTTTAACTTCAAAAGATGGACTATCCTCCTTAACATATCGGACAGCAACAGCAAGGCGATCCTTGTTTGAAGTGTCAGGGGTAGTATCCGCCATAACGGAAAACATCTTTGAATCGCTTACTTCTTCTTTCACCTTGTCCCGAATATTTTCTGCCAAAACATCAATCATTTCGTTTTGCGAGTCGTGGCTCATGTATTAACATGATATGGTCGCAAACGAACCTCGTTGGGCCATCTATTGAGGCTTGGACAATGCCTAGATAGAAGTTGGACAATCTGGTTAAAATTGCCATCTTCTTCATCTTGCTTGTGGGTTGAGTTTGTTGATCTACCTCTGAAAGCTATCCCTTGTCAGGCCAGAGTGTGTACAACGTCAAGCAGAATAAACACAGCGTCTTTGTTTGTCAACTTGTCCTTTTCCACTTGAATAATGTTGAAACGTTTTTCTTTATCAAGGAGTAAATCTACATTTAACGACTCTTGACTAAAAGCATAGAAATCCGCTAATGCGGCCTTATGGCTTTTCGATCCAAAATGCTCAGCAAGTTTTCCCTTCTTCTTGGTTCATCGACTGGTCATTTTGTGCCATTGTCGCATACCATGCTGTATCGGCATGCTCCCTGCCAGGTCCGGATGGAAATAATGAACATACGTAGCAAAATGCTGCATCTTTTGAAATACTGTACTCGAGATGTGGAAATGATGCGTACCATACACTAGAAAACCGACATTGTTTTCGTTGGGGGATATCTTCATGCTGTGGGAAAACAGATAACTTAGGCTGGTGTGGTCCCAATTTTATGATGTACTTCTTTTCAGTGAGTGAATTTACTTTGTATCTGTCACCAGGATCATGGCTTGGTACTGACATGACAATTTCTTCATCATTTGGCGCTGCAGCTCTCTTTTTTTCTTCCATTTCCTTCAACAAAGCGCTGCTCATTTTCCTGATTTTATTGGAATTCTTACAAATTTGTTGTGTTAGTTCCTCAGCATTGGTCAAGAAAGTTTCTATCACAGGACAAGTATCACTTTTTACTTCATCCACTAATTCTGATGCCCTCTTGAGATCTTCAACCAGGTATGATAATTCGCCAGCACAAGTCAACCAATTGTGATCGTTGTTCTCTGATGAAGACTCTGCATCACTTTCATTTTCACTTTCAGAAGAAGTGCACACGGTAAAACTGGCACTGGATAAATTTACATCTGGTTCAAGTAACGCAGATGTACACCTTCATTCAAGCTTGCCTTCTGATATTACATCACCTGAATCTGCCAGTGAATCTGGTTCGCTTTCGTTTAGCAACATTATTGGGAAAAGTGCAGTGGCCGCAGCTATGGTTGTGTCTGGGATGGTGTTTAGTTTTTCTGACGGAATTGGCAATGCACCTGATGTTTCACCATGCTCATTATGAATTGGGATTACAGAGGGAGGGCTGGTATCACTAGAAGATGGCAAAGTACTACTTGATGGTTTGCTGTTACACATAAAATCATTAAAATGCGCTTTTTTGGCAGCTTCAAATGGATTTTGAGGAGCATTTGGCAACTTTGTACGTTATTACTTTGTTTTTAACATGGCAGTATGAAATGTTTTGTTGTGTGTAGTTCGATAGTTGTCATCAAACTGTCTATGACATACAAGACATTCTAGTTTCACTCTCTTACGTTTGTGAGACTGTTTCGTCTCGCTTTCTGATTTTTCCATGTCTTATTTCTTAACTGCAATTCATGTTGTGGGATTTTGCCACTAATTAACAAAAAAAGGAAACTTTTTCCAAAATAGCTTATTGTGTAATGTGTATGTATTTATTCTAGTAATAAAATATATTACAAATTTACAACACTGGACATCTTTTTAAATTTTTAGTTAAGACTAAAAGCACTACTTTTTGCATTAATATTCTCCTAAATCTCGGAAGTCGTAAATAACGAAAATACTAAATAATAATTCTAAATATTTATAACGATAGTCACAATGGCAAAATTTATAACACTTTCAAACTGCATTTGCAAACCGTATACCAGGTTAACAGGTTCTGCCTTTTTAAATAATCAAATTAGATACTGGAAAACTTGTTAAACACGCTACCTTTTAAAATTGCTTCACGCCATAAGCTATTGTGGACCATAAATAGGTTAAAAGGAGTTAAAATTGAATATTCAAATGTTTACCAATTTCGTTTGTTGAAATCTGCGCTCTTTTTGGTCAGCAAAAATTTTCGGCGATACTTGGTTACATATAGAACGCATTGTCACGGATCAATGAACCGATACCGAGTTGGATAGATGTTCATATCCAGATGATCTTGATACGCGGAAAAGTACTGGCACTAGTTGTCAAATAGAAATCCATTTTATGATTAAAGCAACTGAATATCTCCTGTAATATACTTTATTTCGATTCCATATTTTTGTCAGAGCTAGAGTTCTCATAACCAAACATAATTACAAAATTTCAACTAATTTCATACAGAATAACGAAATATATAATTGACTGAATACATCAAAATGGATTTCTATTCAGACAACCCTTTCTGAGCGCTGATTGGCTAAAATACGAACACGAGATCACCTGGATATTGTGTGGGGTGCGGCCACGTAACTACTTAAATGATTTTGTATTTTCTGTTTGCAAAATTCAGAGTGATAAAGAAAGAGTATATTTGTGACATAGAGAGTATATTTTCGGTTTGAATTCAATTATTCAGGAAGTCAATTTTAGTTTCTTCAGTGGTTATCTTTAGCCAATCCAGTTTTACCAACTGAGGTAACGATTTGCCGAGTTGGTGACGAGTGGGGGGTGTTCCACACCACACACCCCTGTAGCGCCGCCCCTGCAAGCGGAATATTGCTTTTCGTGATATTGTATGATTTCAGCCCGGGGTGACATTTCAGCCCGGGTTTGTTTACTACAAGGGATAAATATAACTCTGACTAAAACTCAGCCAGGGTTCAAATTGCCCATGTAATTGTGATGCCATTTCAGCTCGGTTAACCAGGCTGAAAACTCTCCATGTAATCAGCCCCTTGCAGTAAACCAAATGTTTTGCTTCTCTGACTTCTTGGCAGATGGTAAACACATGCAACAAAATTTAACTGCCAGACTTCAAAAAAAAATTCTATTTCACATGCTTTCTTATAGCCAAATTATCTACATTGCATTTATGATAATATACATGGTAAATATTTGGAATAAACAGCAAAATATCACGGTAAACATCCAGTTAAGTTGCATCGTTTGCAAGGTCTAGCACCATTGGCTACAGCATGTTAATCGGTGGTTAACACCATGTCGGTAAATTGGTTAAGATAACGATTAAAGAGCTAAGAATTTTATCAGGATTATGTGTAGGTGTCGATTACTAAACATATGACAAGTGTTAATTGCCTTTAAAAGCACAGATATCGTGCAGGGTGCATGCCCTGCATTCTTCAGTGTCCTATTTCACCAGTAATTAACATTGTAATCACGCCATGTTTACGGCAAATATTTACAAGGATCATACAGAATAATATAACTGTACGTTTATGAGATTTGTAATGTGTGAATACTGTAAAATAGATATAAAATTAAGGCTGAGTATTCCCTGTGTCAATAATATAGATTTTAATTTGACATGGCCCATTAGCCCAACCCTAAGGAAGCCATTAATATGAAACATACTCAGACACTGGCTGAAAAATATTCTTCATAGTAGATGAAGAAACCTGCTTTTATATTAAATATACCCTGAATAACAAAGATTATGCAATTTCATGCATTCTTAAAGAAATGTCGGCAGATCAGTTTTGATAAATAATTTAAATTACTTCTCTAGCATCAAAACGTTACTGCTATCATCCCTACGGAGTACAGTGATGGATCAAATCGGGTGTCATGGGAACATCTCTGTGAAGGCGGAAGCTCCAATACCCCTTCCCTTCTGCAACCTCATGTTTTTCTGGGTGACAGGTTCCATACTTCCATAGAACCTCACAAATCCCCCCTATGCCAGTTCTATAACATGGATTTGTGTTCCCAATGGAGTACAATAAAAACCAGTACACAAGAATCCCAGAATAATTGAAAAAACAAGATATGATTAAGGAGTTCCGGCATGCAAAACTTTGAAGTCCATATTGTATATAATTTTTTAATGGACTTTTATCAAAATGAAGAGATATTGTGAGTCGGCAAAAACAAACTTGGGAAAAAACGTTGAGGTGGGTGGTGAAAAACTAATTTGAGACAACAATTTACGGTTTATTATTATTTTATGTGCATCACTGATGAGTAGGGGTTCTAATTTGTACATATACTGTATCACTATATACGTTTTGAAATTTTATTAAATGAACATCATTGCACAAATCTGTTGACGAACTCAAGAGGGAAGCTTTTTGAATTCTTTAATGCATTGCATGTACTATCAATGCAAAGCCTTGGGCAATTTCGACTTTTTATCTGTCACTTTTTATCGATAACAATCTGTGGGTATATCTCCCACCAGGATCCATCTGTATTTAAGACTGATGAGCACAGATGAAATGATACATTTGAGTTCACATGTACGACTGGTTACACTGCTGGGATACTGTTTGGTATCCATGTAATGACATGGTTTCAAAAAAATGGAGCACTTTGAAGAAGAATTGGTAAAGTCTTATGAAAAGAAGGTAAAATTTTCCATGATTCATTGAATGACATTTACAACAATTCTATCTGCCATTATAGGAAGAATGTCCAGTCTTTTCAGCAGATGATGGAAACACGTACATAAGCGACACAGATGGACGAAGGATATTTGGGGATTTCTCCTTAAAGCTTCAAGGACAATTACTATCCCAAACAAACCGGTCAAAGAGAAACATGGCAACTGGGTGGCTACCATAGATATCTTATATACACTAGATAGTGCATCTAATTATTCTGCAGTTCAAAAATTGAAGCCGTGATTGCAGTCTCAGGTCGTTCCCATGAAATGAGAGGATTCGTACGTTTTCCATTTCTTAAACAGGGAACTTAAACATTAAGTTAAAGCTATTCCAAATACATTTTCAAACTATTCAAATGACAAAAAAAGTTATTGTTGTTTTAAGCGTTTATTAGCAAGTGGGAACGACCAACATGGCCACCATCTCTATTCAAATGGGGGTAACCGCTGGAATATTCTTGGCTTCAATTTTACTAAAAGAGATGCGCTATCTAGTGTATATAAGATATCTATGGTGGCTACGTGTTCAATGCCAATTAAAGGGCATTCGGAAACAAAGTAAGCTATTTTCTTCTGTACATACATTGCTAAAAAATAAAACTCTCACTATTTATGCTGTGTAGCTCTATCAACTGTTCTAAATGTACTGGTTGAGAATGCATGTATACTGACAGCATAATTGTTTTAAAAATCAAGACTATTCTTATTAATAATACAGGAAATAAAGTTATCGTTGTTTTTGAACACATTTACATTTTTTGCTTGGTAAACCATGCCATTAAAGAAAACCTTTTCGGACCCATCCAGTTTTTGTAATATGTTTATTATTATTGCAGAACGATAGTACTTCCAGCCACTGCTTTTGATTCAAGAGCAACGTTTTTGCAAGAAATAAGAGGCAGTTTTGGCACCGCTATTCTGAACCTTGGTGGGTCAGTGACAACAAGCACCCTAGCAGAGTACTATACATTTCTTAAGAACGATGTCACAAACAACACCAATAGAACCTGCTGCAAAGCTAACAGTTTGGGTTTAAATATCAGTGGGATGAGTATTGGCTTCTGTCTGAAGATGGTATACAATTTTAGATAACTTAAACATTTTCAAATTTTAAATTCATCAAGACTATAACTAAATCATTCCCTACATGAAATTAAATACATCGAAATGTTCTTTTTGGAGAAACGTTCATATTCCACTGGCACTGCATTTATGATCTTATAATATGCCAAATTAACATGTCATTAATACCTAATCAATTTTGGAAGTATTATCCAGTATTGTTATGTTATATGTTATGCTATGTTATGTTATATATTTAATGCTATGTTATGTTATGTTATGTTTTGTTTTGTTAAATTTAATCATTACTATATTATAATTGCAGTTGCACATCAGTCATGGAGAATTGGTTATACCAGGTGAAAGGGTCTATTTTATTCATGGTGAAGATATATACAAGTTTGGCACAGATTTAGGAAGGCATCTTATGGATGACAATAGGTTGCAATCTGTTTTTTCAGAGGTAACACAAATTTTAAACACAACTATATCACATATTCAATTTTGATATTTTCCCAAGTTATGAAAGGAAACTTTCCATCTGAGTGCATTCTCGAATAGAATTTTACAGATTTTTTGCAGTTTCGACTGTTATCCTACATTTTTCTTGCTTTTAAATGTATTTTCCGCATTGTTTCGCCCAATTAACTTAATTTTATAATTTATCTAAATTTCATTTTTGGCTTCCCTGCCCCCTTGTGCACTTATGGTTAATTCATGCATGTAAATGTACAGCAGCTGATTAATTTTATCTTCAGTATACAAGTCATCGACATACAATGCAATCCCACAAATTTCACTTTTCAGACAATTCCAATGTACATAGAGAAATAGTCAAAGTGCAAACCAAGCAAAAGGTGAGTAATAATAGACAACTTGCATGTTAGACTAATTTTTTATCTGTAGGCAAAAAAAATAAATTCCCATAAAGAACATTAAAATCAGTAAC